AAGAGATTCAGATGCAGAATTTGTTGATGCCTTCTCCCAAAGATGGAGTAATTTTACAGCTTATATTTTCCCTCCTTTTAGCTTAATTGCAAAAGTTCTACAGAAGGTAAGGACCGAGGAAGCAAAGGCAGTGCTAGTTGTGCCATTATGGCCAACCCAACCATGGTTTACGATATTTGTGGACCTATTGATAGACAATCCCATAATCCTGTCTTATATATATATTTCGTAGGGGAAGATACAATTACCGAGATAAAAAAAAAAATCAGGAAATTAAAATAAGGGGAAATTGTAAGAATTGGAGAGAATGTAAAAATCGAGATACAGTATTGCACTGATAAGAAATTCAAATTGTAAACAGAGGGGGATCGGCCCACGTGGGTTCATCCTTGGCATGAAAAATTTAGAAGGATGAAATAATTGCAAGTTTCGAGAAGTTGTCTCAAAAGACCTTAAACGGAATGGGTTTATTGCACAGTTTGTGTAGACATTTAGTCCTGTAGTCCTTGTGAAGAAGACAAACCATTGAGATATAACGTAAGACAAGCGTAGGTAAAATGTGAGGAATAAATAAATTGATTCCATTCCAGGACTTGGTTGCCTACTTGGGCACTGCCTTCAAACCTGCTTCCCGGACAATATGGTTTCTTTAGGCGCGCCTGACTTAATTCAACATCAGGGGGAATTTCAGATCACGAATAAATACAAATCGTCAATATTTTCTATGTAGCAATTCAAGAAATTGATTGTCTCATCCTGTTTGTATTTTTGTATTTTCCGTGCTTGGCATCCTGTCAACTCATGTTTTGATTGACAGATGTGGCTAAGCTTGGAACGCTAGTTTGAATGACTGCTTTTATTACCGTATGTCCCTACTCATACTTTTCTATGCACGACTGTCTGAATGTAATAAATGTGTCTGTAAGAATTTGGTTTACGTTATTGCAGATTTACATCAGGATGTGGTCCATGTTTGTTAACTTCTTTATAAGAGTATCTTTGTCTTTCCTTTCCCCTTTATAGCCGTTAGGCCAGAACTGTTCCCAAAGTAGGTAATTTTATTTGAAGCGTCCAGAAGCGTCCAGAATATTCTGTATTCACGTTTGAGGATTCTTGTGTAAAGTGTATAGTTCTTTCCTGTTGAAAGCCGTGTTTTATAACCATAAATGATGGTATTTCTACTATGGTACACAAAATAATTTATTTTAAAACTTTTTTCCATCCCCAAAGAGATTGGATGTTCATATACCGTATTTATTAATTGGTTACGAGTGTGATTGATTTATTGATTAAACAAACTCATTGTGAATATAGAAAGAGATAAAAGTAGAAAAAAAACCCAATAAAGATGTGGGACTCCAACGGAAGACAAAAAATAGAAGAAAATAATAATAGGTCTAATAATAAAAAGAATACTGTAGTAGATGTCTGAACGCATATTAAGAATATTACAGTAATGTATAAGTAATTTTGTAAGAGAAATATATATATTTATACCATTATTTCTTTATATGTAATAACTGTTAAAATGTATAAATTTATATATATATATTATATATATATATATATTTAAACAGTTATTACACACACACACATACACACACATATATATAAATAGGCCTATATATATTATATATTATATATATATATATATATATATATATATAGTTATGTAGTGTTATGAATATGAAAAAGAGAAAAAAAACGTCTTTAGTAGTAAGTATGGACGTTATAGGAGGTTATTAAATATGTAAAGTAAACAATGGGAATAATATGAAAACAATTGTTTATATTATATTAATAATAAATAAATACTTTAAATAATAAAAATAAATAAATAAATAAAATATTATTAATAGGAAAATATGAATTTGAGTTGGTGTGTGTGACGTATTGAAATTGAAAACAATAGAAAGGATGTGCGGCTTAAAACAGGTGTTATGTAGTTAATTAATTTTAGGAAGTGCGGTGTCGGTGTTTCAAAGGGATTAATTTAAATTAAACAATAGGTATAAAACAATAGAAAGGATGTCCGGCTTAAAAAAAAAAGGTGTTATGTAGTTAAGTATGGACGTTATAGGAGGTTATTAAATATATAAAGTAAACAATGGGAATAATATGAAAACAATTGTTTATATTATATTAATAATAAATAAATACTTTAAATAATAAAAATAAATAAATAAATAAAATATTATTAATAGGAAAATATGAATTTGAGTTGGTGTGTGTGACGTATTGAAATTGAAAACAATAGAAAGGATGTGCGGCTTAAAACAGGTGTTATGTAGTTAATTAATTTTAGGAAGTGCGGTGTCGGTGTTTCAAAGGGATTAATTTAAATTAAACAATATAAAACAATAGAAAGGATGTCCGGCTTAAAAAAAAAAAGGTGTTATGTAGTTAATTAATTTTAGGAAGTGCGGTGTCGGTGTTTCAAAGGGATTAATTTCAATTAAACAATGGTATTAAACAATAGAAAGAATGTGTTGTGTCATTGATAGTATTAATTATTAGTTTGTATAGTAACGTGATATACGTGTGGTACGTCACGATAAGAAGGAATTCCATTGGATGAAAGATATTGGTCACTTACATCGTGGTGACTAGATAGTTTGAATAGCCCGGTGAACATGATTAGATTGATGACGTTACATCGTGAAAAGAGTGAATTCTATTGGATGAGAGATTTTGGTAACTAAGAAAATGCAGTGACTTGTTTTTGAAT